AATCTCTATGAATTAATTTAATCTACAGAAATACCAGTCAGTTGTATGTCAGTAGTTTACAGTTATTCATTAATCTTATTAATACTATTTTAATTACAGATCTCTACAATGGAATCTGCTGAGAAAACTTGTTGCCAATGGTTTCAAAAAATATCAGGATCTTAAATACCTGTAAGACATTGTTTAGCTTCAAATATCAAAATATTATACATCATTGCTTTACAGTGTAGTGATAAAGGGTGAGTTCATATGTTACATCATGTGAAAACCAGAATTATAGATTGATTGTTAATGGAATGTCTGACTTTGCTGTCACTAATATTTCTGTTTTCTGCTAAGTTATTTTCCAAGGTTGAGAAGTATTAGCAAACACTGGATAAGGGCACATACTGAAGCTGCACTTTATATCTAGTTACTGTGGAGAAAGCCCTATTAAATTCAATTGGACCTGCCTTTGAATAGACATGTATAGCTTTATCTTTTAAAATTATACCTTAAGCTCTTATATACATATAAAGCATGCTGAAATTAAGGAAATAGAAATGGAAGTTTTCAAAACTGGGATTTAAAAGATTCTACAAGAACGATATGTTTTATAGAAAAGGCAAATCAGTTAGACCAGGCCTGCTTCTTCTGTTCAGTTTTTGAGCTACTCCAGAATCCCATCTGCACCAGTTCATTGGATTCAGCACTGAAACCAGGGGCAGCCCATTGACCACCATCAGCGTGAGAAGGATGTGCCTCTGACATTCTGCTACAATTTGTCCTCACCCGCACTGAAAAATTGTTCAACCTTCTTAATCAATTACAGCAAAGAAACACTCTGGATTCCACTTAGGGAGATTTGTCTTGTGTTTATTGTCACAATACAATACACTTTCTAAACATATTAACTATATTAATACATTTAATATATATGTAATTAAATCACATGTACCTGAGTTACATGTACAATGACACATACACACAATATCTATATACACACACATGTACAATGACATACACCCCACACACAATCTGTACTTCTACCTACCTACCTACCTACCTACCTACCTACCTACCTATCATCTATCTCAAATCCTTTTGGTTCTATCATTTTATTTGCCCAGGTTTGTTTATTCAAATTGGATAGTTAAATTTTTCATCCTTTTTTGCCCACAAATTTAAATAAGAGTTATGAAATAATTTATATAGGAAAACACTGTCCTTTCATTAAAAAAGTGTAGCATCAGAAGTGCAAGATGCTTTGGTCATCTGTTTTCTCTTCAAATTCACTATAAAATCAATATTTTCTCTATCCAACATTAAAATAGTCTTGAAAGGATTCTTGAGAAGGATTTTTTTTTAATTGAAGCCAGATACATGCCCTATGTATATCAAAGATTTTAGCAATTTATTATTGTCATTTTCTTCATAGGTACCTTCAAAATAATAATATAAGCATTGTGTCAGGACATGCTTTCAAAGGACTCTACAATCTGACTAAATTGTAGGTATTTCATTTAGAGTTCTGTGCTATAACAATTGTTCCATTAACATTGTTATAATAATTTCACTAGCCTTGCTGTTGCTTCCTGTACTGCTAAAGATGTTTACAAAATCAGTGTGATATATGTCAGCTCTATCATGGGGTTTCTTATATCTATTCTGAACAGTTTGGTAGAACAATTAAATACAAATATGAATGCATGAAATACTGTATTCATGAACTGCTCAATGATTTTGTAAAACCAATTATTGCCTGTTGCATTTTATTGGTCTGGTTTCAGATATCTGAGTAATAACAAGATAACCTTTTTAAAACACCGTGTATTTGAAGACCTACATAAACTCGAATGGCTGTATGTATTGGCTTTGTTTCAAATTATTGCTGCAATTTTAAAGTTACTTATTTTCCTTTTTTAAATTAAAAAAATGTACTTATCTATTTGAATACATTTTGAATAATACATGATGATATGATCTATATTAACAAATTAATAACATAATATTTAAAATGCATGAACATGTAAAAGACCCTGAGAAATTTAATCAAATTTATTTTCCTTGGCTCTCTGGTTAAAAAAAAATCTGTCCAAACAGATATTATGTTTGAACTCTAAGTCAGAGATAGGTTTGTCCCTCCAATATTGTATAATAATTCTCATTCCTCTTACCATATGCAAACTACGTATAATTCCAGGTAGACTGATAATTCATCTTCAACAAGAACTACTCTTTGTCAGTCAGGTAGAAAGCCCATTTGACTCACTTCTGAGTCCAATTTTTTTCTTAGGCCCGAGCTGCAAATTGACTCTCCATCCTTTTTGGTCTTTTTGCAATCTTGACATGTTGTGAATCTTCTTGCCAAAAGGCTGCCAGGATGGGCATAATCAGTTGTAAAGCAACAATATAGCAAAACTACCTGGTACCCTGTCACGTTTAGAGTACTCTAAACTACTCCATACCTTTGTCCCTTTCCCAACCAGGTATCCATAGTTCCAAACAAAGCACCGAACTTCATGCATCACCCTTTTTATTTTTCTGGGAATGCTTATGGCTCATTTGGGAGAGGCATTCTTTGAAATAAAAATTGGAAGCTGGCATGCCAGCTTCCTATATTTTTAGCTTAAAATATTAATATTAAAATAATGCTAAAAATGCAGTGTCCTTGGAGCTCTCTGAGCCTGGTTATTGGCTTGCAGACGTTTCATTACCTGACTAGGTAACATCATAAGCGCTGATGATGTTACCTAGTTGGGTAATGAAACATCTGCAAGCCAAGAACCAAGCTCAGAGAGCTCCAAGGACTCCACATTCGACCCTGAGCTACATATATTCTCTTTTATTGAAATACAAAAATGCTGAGGACAGGATGCATAAAGAATTGCCTGGGTAATTAAATTTGGGACTAATCTTAGAGAGTCAAATAGATTTTATAAAAAGGATGTGCAGAGGGCAGTGGAGGTACACGCTATGCCGCCACCTCCCATTCCAATCTCACTTACGTTGACAGGGAAGATCCGCAGTTAAGATATTGATTAATTTTGTATTGGATAAGGCATTTTCCTCCTGGGGGGATGCTCTCCTCTGGAAATGGCCTCTTTCAGTATTCATATGTGTGTGTGTACCTACCTATCTATATACGTATGAAAATACTGTGCAGCTCCACTGCTTTTTCTTGAATCTTCCTTATGAAAAAAAAAAACGTTCATTCACATTTTGTTTCTTGAAGAAAATGATCTCAGCTAAGTTTTCTCCTGGGCATGGGATAGGTTTTGATAGAGCTCTCCCTTTCTCAAAGTTAACCCTATCTTGGACTATTCTAGTGTTCTTTACAAGGAACACAGACTGATGTCTGTAATGAGAAATTTTAACTTGATTGACATTTTTATTTTAAGAGGTTCTTTTTTACTGGTAGCTATGATTTGGAACAAACCATAGAAACCAAAATAAAAAATCACACCCCCCTTTTTTTTTTGCTGCCAAGCTTTTCAAGTGAAGCTGTGTCTTACAAATCTATGATGCAATCTGTTGCATTTCCAAAATAATTAAGTGATAAAGTACTAATCAAATCATTGTAAAAACTGACAAGAAACCTTTGAGCACTTACTTAAAAAAAATAGAAAAACTCTAGAAAGGTTTCTATCATCGTTTTGAAAAAACTCAAGGACATCTCAAGTTTTAATTATCTAAGGTATTAAGGAAAGCCTGTTTTACTCCACTTTCTTTTTTTTAACTTTAAAAATTTAATTACCCAGGTAATTCTTCGTGCTTATCAGCATCCTGTCCTCAGCATTTTTGTATTTCAGTAGAAGAGAATATATGTAGCTCAGGGTTGAATGTGGAGTCCTTGGAGCTCTCTGAGCCTGGCTGTTGGCTTGCAGACGTTTCATTACCCAACTAGGTAATATCATCAGTGCAGTCAGGTAATGAAATGTCTGCAAGCAAACAACCAGGCTCAGAGAGCTCCAAGGACACTGCATTTTTAGCATTATTTTAATATTAATATTTTAAGCTAAAAATATAGGAAGCTGGCATGCCAACTTCCAATTTTTATTTTAAAGAATGCCTCTCCCAAATGAGCCATAAGCATTCTCACAAAAATAAAGTAATACCAATTGTTCTTTCAGAAGAAAACTGCCTTTAAGAACAGAGTCATATAAGTGATGAGCATACAAGTGATGCTGTGCAGGTGCTTACCTGGTAACTGGAGGCTGTGAGGGTCTGGATGGGGATTAACAGTGCAATTCAATCCTTACAAGACTGAATATGTCTGAGGTTTTTTTTGCAGGGGAGGGGAGGGACTAGTTCTAGAGCTGTTCCATTGAGAACTCTGGATGGAGTATCAATCCCCCAGAGATATTTGGTATGCAATCTAGGCGTCCTCCTGGACTCACAATTCCTGTTCAAGCAGCAGCTGGTAGCCAAGGCTAGAGGGCCTTTTTACAGATCCCTCTGTGTACCAGTTGCATCCATTCTTGGATCAAGAATGTTGTTCTGCTCATAGTCACTCATGCCTTACTTATTTCCTATCTTGGTTACCGTATCACGCTCTACATGTGGCTGCCCTTGAAAAGCATTTGGAACCTTCAGCTGGGCCAGAATGGAGTGGTGCACACAGTGTTGGGTTCACTGGGGTTTGCCTAGGTAGCATATCCGCTGTGCAAGCTGTATCCAGCATCCTTCCAGGTGCAATTCAAGGGGCTGGTTAGCACCTTTAAAGACCGACATGGCACAAGACCATGTTACTTGCAGTACTATCTGTCTTCAGTTGTTTCTGCCTGTCCCACCAGATCTGCAAAAGCAGGCATGGTCCAGGTCCCCTCAGTGAAACAGTGCTGACTTGCAGGCCTTCTCTCCTGTGGCAGCTGCCTGTGAAACAGCCTCCTCCAAGGCTTTAAAACTTGTTTTTTCTCACAGGCATTAGGGCTGAGTTGTTAACAGACTCCAAAATTGGTAAATTTGTGGTTGAGGTTTAGGTGTGAGGTCCCTTTTTATTTTGGATTTTATATATACTATAGTATGTATGTTTGTTGTATTTGTATGCATGTTGTTTTTATTCTTTTATATTGTGAGCTGCCTGGAATTAAAGGTAGTCCTTGGTTAATGACTGCCCTGTTTAGCGACTGAACTTACAATTGCACTGAAAAAGTAGCTTAATGACCAGTCCTTGAACTTACAATGGTCGCAGTGTCCCTGTGTTCACATGATTGCCATTCGGGCGCTTTGCAACTGGCGTGCATTTATGATGGTCGCAGCGTCCCACAGTCATGATTGTCAGCTTCCAATAAGAAAAGTCAGTGGGTAGGCTGGCAGGAAGTCACAAGTTGTGGTCACGTGATGTTGTGCCTAACAACCGCAGGTGATTTGCTTCATGACTGCAGCGGAACTGATGTTGTAAGTTGGGTGTGGTCACGTGATGTTTCACTTTACAACTGTGTTACTTAGCAACAAAGTTGCCTGTCCCAAATGCAATTGTTGAGTGAGGACTACCTGTAGTTGCATAAAATGGATAGCCATATAAATTTAATAAACAAATAAATCTAGCTGAGATCATCATACCATTGATGATGATTGTGACTGTTTTGTAAACAGAAGGCTGCAGTGAGCGCTTTCTAAATTAAAAAGATAAAAATATTCTAAATAAAGTATTGGGTAACTGCTGATCTTGTATCCCAAATTCTGTGTGAACCAGCTTATTTCAACCATGCCCTCCCTCCCCCCACAGCTTGAGTTATAGAAACGTGAAGCGCTTTTAAGCATCTATTGTTATTGGCTGGCATATACTGCATTTAAACATCAGAAATGGTTGTTTCTTTTTTCAAATGAGCACCATGCATATTTGGAGTTAAAAAACTTGAAAAGCAGATTGCTTTAAAAAGCTAAAATTTTTAGCCTAAATTGTACCTTTCCTTGGTTTACAGCATAATGGAAAACAATACAATGAAATGCATCTCTCCGCTAACCTTTTATGGACTCAGCTCGCTAATTCTCTTGCAAGTATTAAGTTAATTTAAAATGTGTTTAGTATGTAAGAATGTGCATAGGAGGCTTATAACTGAATAATGTGTTAGGTCAAATACTGAATTGCAAAACAGATTTCTCTAATAAGGTTCTTCTTTGAAAAAAAAAAAGCAAATCAATTTCTAGGATTATATTTAAGATGCCAGAATAATCGTAATTTAAATACATTGTGTCTTTTTCACTTCAGAACTCATTTAAGGCACATTTCAGTCTTCATGGACATTTCTCTGACTTTAAACCTAAAAGAAATAAAAAATAGTTTAAGGGACAGAATGATAACTTGCAAAGCTGAAGTTTATTAACAAATTGAAATAAACATTGAGGGGTGGCTCATTATAAAAGGCAATGTTGATTACAGAAAGCATCTGCCCTGTTTTTAATTCCATGTTTTGATAGAGGGTGGAGGTTCTCTAGACCTCTTGCCCTCTGGATTGCAGGCAACCACAGCTGTGCTTCAGTTTTCCTTGACTGCAGGGAGAGGGTGAGATGCAGCCAGGGGTAGGATCCGCATCACTTGCAAGTGCCAGCCAGAGTTCCTGCACAGATGGCTCTGATTCACCTCCTCTGCCACTCCACATTTTTACTAGTGAGGGGAAAACACAGTATGACCAGAAGTGGCTCCTAAGAAAGTATCCTCTTGGTTCTTCAAAGTGGCCTGGGCTTGCCAGCTATAGTACATAATTCAACTGAACTTTCACACAGTATCATCCAGCCTGCCAGAGAGCGACTGTTCTTCAAAACCTTTTGTTACATTGGTGAATGCAGATTATGGTTCATTATTGGCTCCGGATCATAGGTTATATTCTTTCTGTTCTTATTCAATTTTGCTATGTAAATCTGTTTTGCATGTAACTCAACGAGTATGCAAACATACTAACATACACACATAAACAATTCTAAAATTATTCTAGATAATTTCATTCTCTTATTGAAATAAGATTTTGCTTACTTAAGGGCACACGTGACAAAAATAGACATACAAGGTCTTGACTAATCATAAAGGTTAAGAAAGAAAATTGCTGAGCAAAAGCCATGTCCAATAGTGAAACAGTACCATCCTCATACAAAGACTATTTTTCCGTATACGGTTGTGTGCTCTAAAACATTCTCAGAAGAGAATGAAATATGCCATATCATAAAGGATTATTATCTAAAATAACAAATTTAGATATAGTGATATGCTCTGGCAAACATAAATTTATCATCTTTTAAACTGTCCTTTGCTTTCTCTCTCTCTCTCTCTCTCTCTCTTTTTGCAGAGTTTTTATGAATAATTCTCTTGTCCAGTTGCCTGATAAACATCTTTGTCAGCATATGCCAAAATTGAACTGGCTGTAAGTCAATGTTCTGCAGTAGTAACATATTCACTTGAATCAAAAACATCTAGTTTCTTGTTCAAAAAGATTTTTGTATGAGATGAGAAAATGAGGTTCAGCAAATTTAATCAAAACCCAGATGTGTGTGATTTGACATGTGATTTGAATTACAATAGTTCCAGGTAAGGCTATGTAAAAAAAAAATCTGCTTCAAATGCTTCCCTCTCCCCATGGTTTGCATGTACAGTATATGCACAGAAAATATTTCTACTTGGAGTGCCAGCAGAGTTCAATGGTTGTGCATGTACACATATGCCAATCCAAATGAAAACAATTTTTGAAACAGCCAGATGAACCCTGCAAAAGACATAGCTGCTTTAACACTTTACAGAGAGATGCCTTATTTGAACTTAAGTGCTTTGCTAAGTATCTCTTTCAATGCTTTGCAAAGCCCTAGTTTAGAGGAAAAAACAATAATATCTTCACATTATCAGTGCTGGCAGAAATATTTGAAATATGTTGCTAAGAATTAATAATATTGTTTTTATTCTTTAGGGACTTTGAGGGAAACCACATCCGTAATTTAGGAAATGCTACTTTCATCTCCTGTAGTAGTTTAACAGTTCTGTAAGTAAGAAGAATTTTCTGTTGTGCCAGAAAAGAACATTAAGATCCTAACCATTTATCAAAATCTGGTGCACTTCAGAAGTGATGGACTTCAACTATCTTCAAAAGCCTAAAGTTTGTGGGTGCCGAAGTTCAGCACATCTGGAGGGTCCCAGCTTCAGATTAAATACAAATAATGGAAGTTATTAAAATACACTAAAATATCTTTTACTGTTTCAGTGTTTTGAGAAGAAACAAAATCAACTCTCTCCATGAAAATAGCTTCTCTGCTCTTCAGAGATTAGCTGAATTGTAAGTAGAAGTTTTTTTCTTGAGCTAAAATCTTATAACTTTATATAAATTATAAGGAAGGGTCTCAGTGCTACAAGCACAAGAGTAGGTTACATTTTGCACAGCTGTCTGTTTTTACAAAAAGGGTAACTGAGGGAAAAGCACAGTTGGGATTGGAATAATGGTTCAGAGGGGATACTCATTGGGTATAAAGATGTCTTGGCAGAAGTGACAGCTTTTCTCCTGGGCAGAATAGCATATTTGGAAAGATAATTGTCAGGGATCAGTGATGTAGCATGGAGATGGGGTAGAGCATTGTAAAGCCCTACTTGCACATTATAGTTTTGATCCAGTTGGGTTTCACTGCAGCTACCTTAAAAAAAAGACTAAAGTTCAATTACACATTTCCCTAATGCAATATCAGACAGATACTTTTATTCCCAGCTGAAGTAAATATGACATAACTCTGACAATATGACTGAATTCACAATTGTAATAAATCATGATTCTATTATTATTATTATTATTATTATTATTATTTATTGGATTTCTCCTAACCATGGTTTATTAAATAAACCAGAAT